ATAGATATGTGTATCACCATAAATAAAATAGAGCATTAAGGCGAAGGAATTTAACTAGAGGAATTGAAGGTCTCAGAAACGGTTTGGGTCGGATATATAAAACACATTCAGAGGAGTTAGTGGTAGGGTTGTGCCACAGACAGATCGAGTGTCTGAGCCACTCCCTTTTGAGGGCTTTTGTTTCACTTAGAGCTGGGCGATAATTCGATAACGATAATTATCCCGATATAATTTTCCTCGATATAATTTTAACAGAAGTTCGATAAATGTTCGATATATATGTTTATGCTTTGCGCATGATATGCACATGCGCACAAAATACTGCGCGAGTGTGCGTGTTTGTTGCAGACCGGGCAGCTAACAGATTTGTTTAATGTTTCTGCTGTTTGGCAAGTGTTTGTTGTGTTCTTAAAATAAAGAGTTGTTTAATTTACCAATTAACTGTCTGGTTTCTTCAACTTTCAAGTTTAAAGGCAGATTTTTCTCCTGAGTGAAAGAAATTATGATTTGACATTTATCATGATAATTATCGATATCGATTGATGAGCAAACTTTTATCGTGATAATGTTTTTGGCTATATCGCCCAGCCCTAGTTTCACTCCTCATTTCTTTATTGCATTTATGTTGGCAAGCCTTCAGAGACCGTGTTTTTTTTGCTGGTTGCTTCCCATATTAAGAGGAAATTGAGAGAGTTCAGTTGCCCTGAACTGGCAGAAATGGCCGCCCTACTGGAGCAGTGCGTGAAGCGGCGGGCTCTGGTTTTCAAGGCTGAAAGGGCCGAGGTGAGCTTGCAGAGCTGTGGCAGGAGCGAACGTAAATACCCGGGTGTCAGCTATTCAGCTCTTGGTCTTGAAGCTGGAACTGGTCTTGTACACGGAAAACAAAAAAAGGACTGAATGTAGGACTGACCCTGGAGTAGTAATATCTGCCAGTGGCTATATCACCCTGCAGCTCACAGCTGGCAGCACACTGAAGCTCAGCAGGTGTGAGCCTGGTCAGTATCTGGATGGGAGACTCCCGGGAAAGCTAAGGCTGCTGCTGGAAGAGGTGTTGGTGAGGACAGTAAGGGGGTGCTCACCCTGCAGTCTGTGTGGGTCCTAATGCCCCAGTATAGTGATGGGGACTCTAAAATCTCATCGGATGAGATGTAAAACTGAGGTCCTGACTGTCTGTGGTTCCTCGGAAAGAGTAGAGGTGTTCACCCGTCGCCCTGGCCAAATGTCTCATTGGTAAAGGCCAGTCATGGCCGGGTGGTAATCCAGGTTTATGAACTGGCTTCGTCACTCTGCTCTCCTCCCCACTGAGAGCTGGTGTGTGGTGAGCGTTCTGGCGCACTATGGCTGCTGTCGCATCATTCAGGTGGGGCTGCACACTGGTGGTGGTGGAGGGGAGTCCCCATTACCTGTGAAGTGCTCTGAGTGTCCAGAAAAGACCTATATAAGTGTAAGGAATTATTATTGTCTGCCAGTGTAAAGTGGATGCAAAGGTCCAGGTGAACTTTTGCCATGTTGCAATATGCAGCTTCGAGATTTGGCTGGAGTGTGGAAGGGTCACAGGATTTCATGAATACTGGGATGAGTCTAGATTGTTTCTTAAGTATTTCTGATACCTCTGTAGCCGAGAAGAGTTTGCATTTGCAGTTTCTAATCTATATGCTTTAAATTTGAATGATTATCTTGGGTTGCCCACAGTCTGTACTATTTCTACTTCAATTTCTGTAAATAATACTACACATTGCATATTGAAGTGATAGTTTGCTTAATGTCAGCAATGTCTCTCAATCCCTGGTTCATCTGTGATCTATTTTTGATGCCCTAGGTGCTCTATATTTACATTTTTTGCAGTGGAGAAAACCATGCTGCCTCTGAGCCACTGGATAAATACTACTAATATCTTCATTCTGATAATTAGTCCATACAAACTATTACACTAAATTATTTTAATAATCAGACCAAACAGGTGGGCACATTTTTTACAAGATTGTGTCTCTGTAATAAAAATGAATGTGCTACCTCACAGTGTTTACATCTGTCATTGCTCTTCCACTTGCTTTAGGTCACCTAGATAAGTTGCAGTCTCATTACCAAATTGTAATGGTTAGGGGAATGACCTATGTGTCAAGTCTTTTAAACTTAAAAACTTCCGATCTCATCGTAAGCTTCCTGGCTCTTCTTTCCTTTTTTTACCTACTTCTGGTTCATAGTCCTTCATTCAAAACAAGCAAGTGTTAGTATTTTAGAATGGGAATTTGAGATTTGATCATTATGCATTCAGTAACTTCTTGTGACAACATTTGGAACAACAGTGGAAGTTAAGAGGAAAAGACAGTAGGAAATAAAGGGGTAAGTGAGAACAGGAAGCACTTCTTTACTCAAAGGTTAATATGTACTGTAGTTATAGGTTCCCTAGAAAACTGAAACCTGTTTGAAACGCTGAAACCTTGGGAAAGCAACACATAGGCTGGGAATTCTGAGGTATTCTCTGTCTAGGATTTCCTAGGAGGTAATGCGTTCAATTACTGAAACTGTCTACTGTCTTCCCCCTAGAGAAAGAATTTCATTCTAGGTGGAAAGAAGAAATGAATTAGTTAATTGATTGATTAATGTATAGATTGTTTATAGGATTAAATGTCTTACTGAAATAAGTTGCCAGTGACCTGGGCAGAACTGAGGTATGTTGAAGAGATTTTATTGGCATCCTGCAATGCTTCATAAGCTTGAAAGGAGAGCAAACAATGAAGAAAGTGCTCGGTGAAAAGGATGTCTGATCTTAATACTCTCAGCCTGTTGCAATCAGTGATGCTATTAAAATGAGCTTGAGGAAAGAGGGTTTAAAGCTTCTCGCAGCTTTTTTTAATCACTTCCAGCAGTGTTTTTGCCCTCCCTATTGTACCAAGAAGATACAGCAGATTTTTCAAGTAAAGCCTCTATTTATAACTCATGCAGCTCTTGGAGTTTCTTAATTGTTCTCTGCCTTGTTTTCTGAGGTGGTGCGTTACTGCAAGGTTCACATGGAGGTCAAACATTAAACATTAAACACTTAAGGTGTGGAAGAACATGTTATTTCTACAGGATACTGGTTCTGTAAAAAAAACACAGTGGCACACCCATGATCTGCAGTGGCCAAAGGCCAAATGGTTTTTTATTTTATTTTTATTAGTCATGCTGCACTGTTATTAAAATTGTGATAGTACAATGTCATTCATTTTCAGGCAGGTCAGTAATCTCAAATTTGCCAACTGTTAGTTAAAATGCAAGTTTGTCAGCTTGGTGGTTGTCTCTTTATGTAGAATGCATGTAAATCCGGATCTTTAATAAGATGAAGGGTCATTGCATGATTGTTGTATTACAGTGTGTTTGCAATAGATCATGTGCTACCATTAAAACTCCACTGAGGCCTGTTGGACATAGAGGTAAATGACTATCACTGTACCTGTATAATTGTGGTGGGCTACAACAAGTTACACAGTTGTATTGATTAAGTTGATTATCTAAGACCCTTCATAGATAATCATCTAGGTTTGAGTATCAGCATCACAGTGTTGGTCTTTTCCAGTTTGTAAGCTTCACCCTGTTATTTTGCACTGTTAAAACGCCCAAGGGTTTTCTGAGAATGACACATCTGTTCTGGCTCCATAAGAAGTGCATTTTTTAAATGGTAAAGCTACTGCAGAGTCTGAACCCCAGATGCACCAGTTGAAAAGACAGCCTTGAAGAGCCAAGACATGCCTTCTTCACACACTTTCTATCAATAATCGGCTCACAGAACAGACAAGTGTGGCTGAACAGCTTCAGTTCAATTCAGACAATCCCCTAAAGGCAGCAAAGTGCAAAATTTCATTTATGTGCAACTATGAAACGGGTGGAGTGTAAAAAAAGCATGGAACAATTCCACAGTTACAACAAAAGCCTCCAATGAACTGAAAAAGTATTTTAGGGTAGTATGGATAACATGAGGATTTGAGCAAATTTCTAATGTGAAGAGCCAGCTGTGGTCCCAAGTGGTTTCCAATTAACCAGCCTGCTTTTGCATTTGTCTCCAAATGAAATAAAGGAGACTTAATGTTGATTTGAATTGACCTCTTGTTTTTCTGCTCCACAGCATCTATGATTCTAGCAAGGTATTACTATTGAATAAGTAATAGGTTTATTCCATGCTGAAAAAAGAAGAAAGAAAACACAACGTTTCGGCCTTGGTGCCTTTTTCATGGAGGACAACACACACTTCTTCAGAAGGCTCCACGGCCGAAACTTTTTTCAGCACAGAATAGACCTATTACTTGTTCTTTTGCAGCCTACGCATGCTGACACAGCTCCCCACCTGAACTACTATTGAATGCCAACATTCCCATTTGGGAAAAGTAGAAACTACATGACATTGCACTGTAGATCAGGCTGCGTTTTACTGTCTGTCTCCGATGGGAAAAGGTTGTTTCACATTATAAATGTGCTCCCATACCTCATTAACACTGTTGCTGTGGAGAGTCTATATTTAGTTGTCATATACATGGAAGCTTGATGTGTTAAGATATATTCTGCTTTACAAAGACAGCCATTTCTGTGAGCAATATAAAACAGATTAAGAACGGTTTAACATTATCATCGTGTCTGTCAGTAATTATTTTTTGTAAGTGGTCTGGTGATATCTATCTACAGTCTCTGTTGAATGTGAAATTTGTGTCATAGACAGATTTTACGGGTTCGGGAAACCTTGGGGGAAAAAAATCAGTTTTGTTTTGACAGACCCCATACATCCACTTTGTGCTTGGACCAGACCTACTTTTTGGGGTAAAAAGTTGTATATTCCTCTTTCTGTGCCAAAATAAGGTGCTTTCTATAGAGTGATAGTTATGTCGCCTCCAGTGACTGATACAATACGATACGATTGAAGGCGATTTCTAAATGGTCAACTTGGGGGCCACAGAAGAGATTGCACTGAAGCCGCCAATCTGCCCTCATTTTTCTGCCTTATACTAATGACCCCTTTTTTTTTCCTGCAGGACACCGGCCCCGCCGCTAACTGGATTTGATTTATAAGAGGAAGCTCTGCAGTAAATGGCGTTGCTCTTGCTATCGCTGAGATGGAAAACAGCATTGTCGATAGGATGTGTCCTGATGAATAGCGGCGAGTGAAGATGTGGCTTCTTCTGTGTGTGTGAAATCGATGGGAAATAACTTGCCATGAGAAGAGTCTTTGAGGGCTTTGACAGTGCTGCGCTCAGGAGGCTCGATACGCTTCTCTTTGACCCCCCTGTTTGGCACCTCAGGAGTGGATATAAATAGGGTTCCTTTCGCCCCTCCGCTGCAGAGATCTTTGCTGCTGCTGCTGCTCTTTCCTGGTTGGGTGGATTTGTGGCCCGGGCTGTGGGGGAGGGGAGCCATGTCTCTGCACAAGCCCGCTCGGCTGAGCTGCGTGTGGAGAGGGAGGGGGCTCCGGCTCGGCTCCGGGGTCGACGGCCCCTTCGTTCTCTGGGTTCTGGGATTTACGCTCCAGGCCGTCGTGGCCTCCTCGCAAAAGCTGGACGACACGGACCCGGTGGTGACCACCAATTACGGCAAGGTGAGGGGATTTAAAAAGGAACTCAACAACGAGATCCTGGGTCCTGTAATCCAGTTTCTTGGGGTACCTTATGCAGCGCCCCCGACTGGAGAACGGCGTTTCCAGCCTCCGGAGCCCCCATCCTCTTGGTCCGATATCCGCAACGCCACCCAGTTCGCCCCCGTTTGCCCCCAGACCATCCTGGAAGGAAGGTTACCGGAGGTCATGCTTCCTGTGTGGTTTACTAATAGCCTGGAGGTAGTCTCAACATATGTCCAAGACCAGAGCGAAGACTGCCTTTTCTTAAACATATATGTCCCAACCGAGGATGGTGAGTTAACAGCAGCAACGAACAGGGACTTTTTTCTGCTTTTTTTCCAAACAATTCCAAGCATGATGATTCGTGCATGTTTTTTGTCTTCTATATGTGCATGCTGCTGCTTTCTCTGTGTGCGCGTGCGCGTGTGTGTGCGCGTGTGTGTGAGCATCAGTCTCCTAACTTCCTGTCCACACTCATCCTGCCTTCCTGCACAGCACGCTCATCCAGGTGACCCCAGTTCCTCCTCTGCCTCCCCTCTCACGCTGACTGAGAAGGTCCATCATTTTGTCCATTGTGTGTGCAGGCACAATGAGTTGGGATAATAAAAGAAGGATCTATCTGATGTTAAGTAATGATCATGATGAATAAGAATTAAACCTTTAAAGAATATTTTTTTTCCTCTAAAGTTAGATAGTGGTGTTGCATGCTCCGACTGTCTGTGATGGAGCTCCATGTTATTTTTTAGTCTTCTATTCATTTTGCAGTAAAAAGAATATCCAAGGAATGTGCCAGGAAACCCGGCAAGAAAATATGTAGAAAAGGAGGTATGTATAAAATATAATGAACGCTGTGCCACGGAAGAGATTGTATTTATCGACATCAGAGATGGTCGTCCGCTGGTGTTCTGTGAGGTGGAGAAGGTCAGAAACTTTCCTGTACTTAATGACGTCTCTGAAACTTCATTAGGAAAAGGAGTTTGAATTAGATTCGAGGAAGTTGCACTTGCAAAACGTCTCAAATAAAACGGATGGTATCCGTGTTCCATTGGCTTACACTAGCTGTACCGATCACGATCTCATCAGGGGCGGCAGGGCCCAGTGGAGAAACCAGGACAGGAACCATGATAAGATATACTGTATACCGTTAATATGACTACTTTGGCTGGAAACAACATCATCATCAAAAAAGAAAAATCGTTGCACGCTATTTTTAATCACTTACCTGGGGGAATCTACAGTATTCTCCATATTAATATTAGATGTCGGTTCCATTAAAACCCTTAAGTGCATCTTGCAGCACAAAAATAAAACGTCTCTGTGTTGTAGACTAGCTCTCTGACGGGTCACGTTGGCAGTGGTTACAGTCACTTTGCTCTGGTCTCTTTATCCTCTGCCACCTCCCAGCTTGCCCCTTAGGAGGCTCTTCAAAGCTCCGGTGAGACATGCAGGGGGCAGCAAGTCCCCTTCAGGCTCAGGGCCTGTGTATTAACTGCCTCACCCTGACCAGGAGGTGAGTAGCCAGCCCCCTCCACCCCCACCCTCAGCCACACACAGACACAGACCTCCCCACCTCGCCCAGCACATCTCAGACAGGACTGTTCCCTGCAGCCCCCGTGAAGAGTGAACATCACATTCCTCTGCTCTCTGTCTGCACAGGGTGGGGTTTTTCATTTCAGCATAGTGGAAGAGAATTGTCTCCCCGATGTTGATTTTTAAAACATACATTTTTTTCATTTAATAATAACAGCCATTCATTTATTGTATCCTCAGTGCAACTGGTTCCTGTGAAAGAAAAGAAATGTCTCCTAAATTATGATGTATAACCAGCCTGCTCTGCATTGAATTTTGCATCCCAAATTGGAGATTCTCTCTCATACAGCAAGTGCACGCCAATGAAATCTTTCAATTATTCTTGTCTGTTGGGATATTCTTAGCAATTTTGTTCCAGCCATTTTATTTTAATTTTGAGGCATTTGTATTCATTATAGTACTAGCTGTAATGAAGAATAACATACTTTTTCCTGTGTTACAAGAAATGAATCTCAATGAAATGGAAAGAATGCAGATTTTTCCACCTTTGCAATTAAAATTGAAAAAAAAAAATACAAAACTAGGTTGGCAGGTAGCTTATGCATGTTTTGGCAATTCTATCTCACCAGCTAAAACGTCTGATTCAGCCCTCTTATCTTCACTAAGCACCAGTGAAATTACACCGCAGGCGTAGTACAGCTACCTACAAGCTTATTGAAACTGAAGTTTATTGGAGCAGGAAAAGAGCAACAATGTCTGGTTTCTGTTTTCTTCCAGTCCAAAAACTTTTGAATTCATTGGCTAAGTTTCCCTGTGCGAAAGGGGGGGATGTTAATTCTTCTGATGTAACGCCTTTTCTTTCTTTGAGCAATGTGTTGAGCCGGATTGGGAATACTGTACTGTGTTCGAATCGGCCCACGTCACATATTATTTTCAACACCCAACACAGCAGTTGCATCACAGATAAATTTAGCAAAATTATGAAAAGAGTATTTTTTGTTATTAAGGAAATCCTGAATGTGGTTTACATTCGCTCTGCATTTCTGACAACAGAGATCATTCCTGTCATTTTATTTATAAGCTGCTCAGATATATATTTTCAAAGTCTGGCTGCACTCTCCTGAGTCTTCATGGACACTTTGGTTATCATCCAATTTGCAATATTTTTGGCTGCATTTGGCTGAAACAACCTCAAAATGTGCTTTTGCAAGAGTAAACACTTGCTATTACTTTTCTGTGTTCTTATTGTTACAGTGATTGCAGTCCACATGCTGAAATATTTTTTTCCAAATGTAGTCTTTCCAAGATGTACTTTTTTTCCCGTTCCTGTGGAATTATTTGCTATTTGCTTTTTGCAATATGGCCATAACAATGCTGCTTATTTTAAGCGTGCATGAAAACTTAGCAAGTGTTTCTCACAATGATGAATCTTACAGCCAACATGATGTTCTCTGTTGTTTTTTTATCCGTATGCTGTTATTTTCTTTGGGATGGTTATACAGTACTTGTCTGTAGAAGACACTAGTGGCACATGTGATAACTGCTGTAAACTGGGAGATCAATGGATTGATGGATTTTGTGCTGTAAACAGAGAAACATGGGGATGGATCACACTCCCGAAGAATGCAGAGCCTAGTCTGTGCTGTTCAGCAGTGTGCACTCTTGTTAATGCCCCCAGTTTAAAAAATGCTAATCCCTCAGATAAAAGTGTATACGTTAAACAAAAATCAAATAGACTACCTGGCTTCTTTCGGGCAGGTTTTATTAGAGACAGTCTCTGGGGAGCTGCCAATAATATTGTGTGCATCCTTCAGGATGGTTGGACACAATATCCTCATGCCCCTCTGGGAGGAGCTGCTTTGTTATTTATTTGAAACTTCAGTCTGTGGGTTTATTACAGTGTGCGTATTCCTCTGGATCTGCATGCCCTTCAGAGGGGTGGCGCTGAAAATCGGTTGAAAGGAATGGGCTACTAAAAAGGAGTGTTTCTCTGTATTTGGGTGCAACACTGCAAAACAAAAGAAATCTGATCTGTTAAGTAAACCCTCAGTTAAACCCACCATCCTGATCTTTAGAAATAAGTTGCATTGTCTTTCTGAGGAGAGGTGTAATCTGTAGTTAATTTGTTTTAGAAGAAAAGGGAGTCAGTCCTGGGTTTTGGACTGCAGGGGTCTGGCTGCTTCAGTTCATCAGATACTGATTTTTATGTTATTTCTGTTTTTGTTGTGGTGAGCTTTAAAAGCACACTGCTGGTGACATTATCTGCTGTTGTGAAAAATCTGCGGTGAGATTTATTTTAAATCAAGGGAGCACTGTAGGTGGTCACCACTGCATAATAGCTAAGCAAGAGTGCAGGTTTTAGTGTGGAAACTCCCAGCTTCAGGGGGACGCCTGGAATAAAAAAGCAATAAGAAAGGGATCATGGACAAATCCATCGGCATCAGCCGACAAGATAGTCAGGGGCTTTGCTGCAAGAATGTGCCTTTTGAAAATGTGAATGCTGCGGCCTGGTTTTTCGATAGATGAACTGGATCCTCAGGGAAGCTCTATGTCTGTGCCGCGTGTGTCACGTTGTGGGTGAAACAAACTTTACAGCTTCTGGAAGTTTTTATCTTGTCGAACTTCCTCTGGGACACAGCCTGGTGAAAATCCTCACGTTTCACTTGTCTTGACCTTGGGGCTGACCCTTCCACACTGCGTTGTCTGCAGCTCCTCAGCCTCCTTCCCCTTGGAAAGGATGGAAGTACTGATGCTCTTGCGAGTTTGGTTGCTTACTGTGGTTGTACATTGTTTCTACTTTGATTCTCAAAATGGACTTAAGTGCTTGAGCAAAGTACTTCTAGTCAAAGGGAAAATTATACAAGATACAAATCTGTCTGGTAAACCAGGACTGTTTCGAACATAAGCCTTGTCATTCTGGATCTGAAATGTTATTTGATATCAAAGCTGCTCTTGGGTACAGTGAGAAGGGCAGCAGTTTGTCTTGTTTCTGGCAGGAGATCATACATGTAGCTCTCAGGACCAGCTCTAGGCCTCACTTTCCCAGTGTGAGAGACAGGATAAATTCTTCAGCCCTCCGTGAGAACAGCATCCAGGGTTTTATGAAGGTATTTTATATCTTTAGCACTAGGGAAGAATTGACTTACTGATGCAATTACTTAAATAAAGTAGTTATTTCTAATGCTGTGTTATTACATGTGACTCTTCTCTGTCTGAAGGAACTTAAAATGAGTGATCTTACAATCACTCATTAATTTTATCATTATTGTGGAGTACAAAATGAATATGAAATTGTTTACACAATATAATGCTGGAGGCAAAACTACCATTTGTCAGTGCGAGTGTCTTTTGGCAACTTGTGTGGTAATTCTTGATTGTTTCTTGTGTGATAATTCTTCCTGGTTTGCAGAAACTCAGTTTCGGGAAAAAACAATTATAGGTTGAATCCTTACCTTTAAAAAAAAATGCACCACTAAGTAAGCAAGATTAAAAACGGCTCTGAAATGATTTGGGAGGTTTCCTGATTGTGATGTATCGAACACCCCAAAGCCAGTATAATTTGTCATCAAATATTGATGGCAGCGAAAACTAAATCTGTTTTGGTCCTGTGATATTTTATAAATGTTTTATAAATGACACTTAAACAGAATAAGCATGTGAGGCTAATGAGCCTAATTCCCCACTTCTGTTGACACTGATGCTCTTGCTGGTGAAGGGGGAGTGGTGACATGCGAGCAAACTGCAGCGCAGCTCTCTCTGATACGGATTCCTCCCAGACCGCCCGGGTCACTGTCGCTGTGCACTGCAGGTTCTCATGCATATTTAAGACATGCAGCTTGCAAACGAGGAGGGAGGAGGTCTGCTTCACATAAAATAGCCACCCAAAAGGCTTACCAGACGGGGGTGGGCAAAGAGCTAACTAGTCTGCAGATAATTATTTTTAACTAAGACGTTTTTTGATTTAAGATATCAGACCCATTCCAGAGATATGATCTCAGAACTCCTTGTGAGGAAGTCGGTGCGATAGCAAGAGAAAGTCCATTGCTGCAGTACGGGGCGGCGGCTCCGTGGAGACACTGCCGTCACATGCGGAGCTGTTTTTCAACGTATGAACAACCTCGCCCAGTAAGCTACAGCTATATTGTTCCTGTTTAAAATGTAAAAAAACCAAACAGATTCTTGTCTTTTCTGTGGTGCGTGCTCTCCCACCATTTTGTTTTTTGTCTTACCAGTCAGTCCTGGAGGTTAAAGAGCATAAGAAAGGTACTGACTGAGGAGCCCATCTCCAGTCCATC